CCCGGTGAGCAGCTACTTCAGCACCCACGAGTACATCAGCCAGTACGCGAACCAGGAGGACTTCGACAAGGCGCCCGTCACCACCACCACCACCACGACCACCACGACCTCCAGCAACGCCAGAGGGAAGCTCACCAGAGGTAAGGCTTCCGGAGGCTTCTTCCATGACACTTTGGCCGCACCTGGGGCTGACCGAGGTTTCTCACCAAAGGCAATACACATGTACATTTCTTTGCACAGTTACGCATACACGCAAATGCAAACGTATTCGTTCTCATAAGCACACACGCTTAACTGATCCACTAATCACACCAGCACACATTTCATAAGTAAGTATTTTGTACAAAGTAATGCAGAATATTTTTTTTTCTTAAGGCAACAACTCCTTCATTCACAGTATTATGATCACTATTCTTCACTATATACTTTCTTCGTCCACGCAGGCACCGCAGACACACCACTTGTAGGCTGGTAAAAGGTTACTTCCGCCTGTGTGAAAATTTCGAACTTCATTATGATTTTGTATATTATCTATGTTTAATTTGCTGTCTTGTATACTGAATTATTGACTTCTTTTTCTTACCATTAGTTTGATGTATTTCTACTTTGGTATTATTTGATGTATCAAATTTCGTGAGTACTGAGACCAAAGGAGTGAGGCATTTTCTCAGTAATTGGACATTTTACTGTATACCCAGTTTTAGAGATCCTCTGGTACGAAAAGGCATTTTTATGGAACAATTTTACGTCTGTCAAGTTCATTCTCCCTTTCATATACGAAACATCGATAAAATACTTTGTTCCTTTGCTAGAGTGGCATGTCCTATGGTAATAGATGTTTTCTGGAATCTATTATTTAATCCTTCTAGAATCAAAGTATGATGTAAAATTTTAAATGGAGGATCTATTTTTATGTGAAAAATATGAGGGAACCTACTGATTCCTGTAACCTTGAGATCAGTAATCCAAATCTTTTTCAGTTTTAATACTTCAAATATCAGGTTAATGATTTAGTAATCCTATTTTTGATGCTGATGAAAAGTAAAAGTAGTTCTAAGAAAGTAAAATTCTGTTTATCAAATGGCGTCTATTTAGAAGCCGTTCATTACCAAATAATCTTGTTAAAAGCAAGCCAGTGCTCATCGTACTGAGAGAACCAATCTACCTTAGTTTCAAGCTCCTCCTCAGGTCCTGGTACTTTATGAAATCTTATTGTAACCTTTGTTCTTAATTTCATGATAGCCAAACCGCATAAGGATGAGGAAGACGGTAACCTAGAATACACTGTGTTATGCTTTTTTGTCTGCTTTGTTATCTGCCTCAATGCTTTTTTCCTTTGTTCATATAATCCACCAAAAGGATGTGTAAATCCAGCATTATAATAACTCATGCTTACATGGCTTTATAACTGCAGATTGCCATTATAAATAATTAAAAAATAAAATGTCTGGTGACAAAACTGTGAACATATAAGAAACTTGTCCTTAAAATAAAAACCGCAGCCGCTAAATCTTGGCTTGTAACTTAACCGAATACAGATAACTTTTCAGTAATGAGTCTGATTAGTGATGTTTCCTTAAAATACAGTATAATGAATGTACACCCTGTGATTAAATAGGTATTAAGGAATCTTTCTTCCAGGAGATTCCCTAAATGCTTTTGTTCATGTCGTAAGAGCTAATGGAAACTGCCATATGTCTTAGTTTCTTCTAACTTTCTTCGAATCCTGCAACTGCTTTGCCCTCCTAGACTTACGCTAATTTGGACACCAGCACAAGTATATTAAAGCTTTGCAGGACATTACCATATAACATTTCTTTTCTTTCCTTCTTGATGAGAATATCAGCAGTTCCCTTGATAGCTTATTGATAAATGCATGAAAATATACAGGATTCTAACTTTTTGAAGAATTTCTATCTGCTTTTAAAGCAGTGGTTGATGACAAAATCACTATCAGTGTAGAATACCTCTTTATCGAAATTCGATATTGGCATTATCAAAAACATTATCCTGTTGATTTTAACAGCTGAATATTGTAATTTAATTCAGTTGTTGTAGATGCAGCTGTAACAGTAGGACAACAGAGTACTCTAATGCCATTCTTTAGTCATGCCTAATTTTCAGCTCAAACTAAAATGATGATAAAGCTAAACTGGCATAGATATATAGCTCTGGCTTATAAGTTGACTTCAGTTGTAGCTCCATTTGGTAAACCAGCCTGTGATACCTGTACAAAGCGACCCAACAGGGATAATTTAATTGGACACACATGCAAGTATAAACCGATGTGACATAGAAACACCGGAATGATTCCAATGCATGACACCTTTAAGATCGGAGTATGATGGTATGCTGTCTATTATAGGAACGACGCGGCGACCAAGCCTGGAGAGACAGATCACCCTGTACGATGAGCAAGGCGGGGGAACGAGTGGGGACGTGACCAGTCGAGAAAACAGGTACTCAAACTACCATAGCTACTATCACCAGTACTCCACCA